ATAAGATTTGTAAATTTTTGTAATGAAATTATTTTACAAATGAGGTAACTTTTCCGAAAAGGTGTAAGTATATGAGCGAAAATGTGTAAATTTTCAAAAATAAATTATTTCACAAAAAACTGTAACCTTCCAGAAATATTGGAAGTGTTTTCACAAAAGATGAAATTAACTTCACAAAACGTGTAAGTTCTGTTTTTTCGCAGAACGAGTAAGTTGCTAGAACGCAATCAAATTGTATTTGTGTTGTTCATGGTTTGATATCGATATAGACAGACAGAGACGAAGGGAGGGAGAGAGACGGACCGATATCGACAGACAGAGATCGAGATAGACATGGTTCGACTGAGAGAGACGGATCCAGATCGACATAGACAAACCAAGATCGATACAGACAGAAATCGACAAACAGAGAGAGAGAGAGACCGACATGGTTCGATAGAGAGAGACGGACCCAGATTGACACAGACAAACCAAGATCGATACAGCCAGAGATCGACAGAAAGAGAGAGAGAGACCGACATTGACAGAGAAGAGTCCGAGATGGACAAAGAGAGACCAAGATCGATAGAGACAGAAAAATCCTTTGATTTGCACCAGCGGCAGTGGCAATGTCAGTCGTCGGTGGGCAACGGTGGCCCGCGACGGTTGGGTGGTCGGTGGTGATAAAATTTTCAACGTATAAGTCATCGATAAAAGATAGAGCTTCTTTGGGAACTTATATCTTTTGTAAAAACGAAACATTCAGCTTGATTGGCTCACAAAATTTACACCTATTCCTAAATTTTACACATTTTCTAAAAATTTACATATTTTCATGGAAATATTTACAACTTCTTTGAAAAATTACACATTTTGTGAAAAAACCTTTTTCATAAAATTTATAGTTATTATTTCAAGTTACACCTTTAGTGAAAAACAAAACTTACATCTTTTCTAAGGTCATTTACACCTTCTTTGGAAAAACATACGTCATATTTGAAAAGGTTATACCCTTTGTCAAATAATTTCTTTTAACAAACTTTATCAACGCATATTTTCCATAAAACGTGTAAATTTTCAAAAAAGGTGTAATTGTCTTCACCAAAGATGTAACTCCTATTAAAAGGTGTAAATTTTTAAAAAAAAAAATTTCACAAAAGGAGTAACTTTTCAGAAGAGTTGTAAGTTTTTAAAATAAGGTATAAACTTGATGAAAACATATTTTCCATAGAATGTGTAAATTTTTAAAAAATGTGTAAGTTTTGCTGGTAGAAAATGTGTAATATCTCATAAAAAGTGTATATTTTATGGAAAAAGTTATTTACAAAAGCAGTAACCATTCAGAAAAAGTGTAAGTATTGCCACAAAAAGGTGTAACCATTCAGAAAAGGTTTATGTTTTTAACAATATGTATAAATTTTATGCAAATATTTTTTCCATGAAAGGTGTATATTTTCAAAAACTTGTATGTGGTTTCACAAAAGATGGAAGTTATGTCACAAATGGTGTAAGTTTTTTTTTTCATAAAAGGTGTAACTTCCCATTAAAGATGTAAATTTTATGGAAAATATAATCCAGATTTCCATAAAAGGTGTAAACATTTTCAGAAAAGATGTAAGTTATGTCACATAAAGTGTAAGTTCTAATAAAAGGTGTATATTTTCTGGAAAAAAATATTTCACAAACGGAGTAACTTCTCATAAAAGGTGTAATTATTTCCACTAAAAGATGTAAACTTTCAGAAAACATGTAGGTTTTTAACAAAATGTGTAAACTTTATGAAAACATATTTTCCATAGGTGCAAATTTTTTCACACAAAATGTAAGTTATTTGACAAAAAGTGTAAGTTCTGTTCTCAGAAAAGGTGTAAGTTCCAATGAAAGGTGTAAATTTTTTTAATAACATTCTTTACAAAAGTAGTAACTTCTCACAAAAGGTGTAAGTATTTCAACGAAAATGTGTAAATTTTACAAAATAAATTATTTCACAAATATGTAACCTTCCACAAATAGTATAAGTGTTTTCATAAGAGATGTAAGTAACTTCGCAAAACGTGTAAGTTCCCTTTTTTCACAAAACTTTTAAGTTCCTAAAATTCAATCAAACTGGATTTGTCTTGTTCAAATAATGGCAATGTGAGAGAGAAGGGCGTTTCGGAGGGCTTGGTCTTTCTCTCAGTAGAAGTCTGTTTTAGAGAAGACGAGTTTGGGAGGGCTTGGAATAACGACTCCAAGTCCAAATCCAACCAAGTATGTCAATGTAAAAGAGAACCGTTTTTAATATAGAGCAAGGGGCAAAGAGAGATAGAGAGATAGACTGAGATTGAATGGCATAGAGACCTAGATGGACAGTGGTCAACAGAGACAGCCAGACCGAGATTGACAGAGAGGGACCAAAATTGACAGAGATCGACAGAAAAGAGACCGACATGGACACAGACAGACCAAGATCGCTGGAGATAGACCGAGATAGACAGGGATCGACAGAGAGAGACCGACATCGACGGAGAATAGGCTGACATCGACAGAGAGAGACCAAGATCGATAGCGAGAGAGAAAAAAACCTTTGATTTGCGGCAGCGGTAGTGGCCGTAGCGGTCGCCATGGAAATGGTGATGTCAGACGACAGTGAGCACCGGAGGCCACCGACGCTTGAGTGGTCAGCGGGGGTCAGGATTGGTGGTGACTATTCTGTGTGCGTGTGAGAAAGAACAGAGAAAGTGTTGGTGGGAAATAGAGAAGTGGGGGGCCGATGGTAATAAAATTTCAAACCTTTAGTGACTAAACTGTTATTTGTCGATAAAATTTACACTAAACTAAATTTTACACTTTTTCTGAAACATTACACCTTTTCTGGAAAATTTTCTTAACTTATACCTTTTCGTCAAAATACTTACACCATTTTGTGAAAGTTTACACCCATTTCTGAAAGTTTATACCTTTTCGTCAAAACACTTGTATCATTTTCTGAAGGTTTACACATTTTCCTGAAAGTTTATACCTTACACCATTTTGTGAAAGTTTACACCTTTTATAAAATTATTAATATATTATATTATTTAATTAATTTACCTACAAATGACCTGTTTAGCAGGTCACCAATGTGTAAACTTTCAAAAAATGTCGTATAACCCAATACATAAAAGGTGTAAATGCAAAATAGAAAGGGTGTAAATGCCTGGCATACCATATGCAAGGCACACCAAAGAAAAGTCCTAGAGAAAATGATTATATTGAATTTTAATATGTAAAATTTGAAGATGCAATTGATATAAAATGTAAATTACACTTTAACCACTTTATGTTTGGTCATTTTTTTATTTTGACATTTAAAATTTGTTTTTTCTCACTTTGATCATTAATATTTCAATTTTTTTCTACTTTACTTTTAAAGTTAATTTCTATTCAAAATTAGACCAAAAAAAAAAATGACATGTTAATTGACATATAACATAAAGGGATTGCCTTATTCCCAGCCCTATCGCTTCGCTACCATCGTCGACTCCTTTCCAGCCCCGTCATTGTCTCCTTTCTAGCCCATTACATTGTTGTCGTTGTCGTTTTCATTTTCGTTCCAACCCTTCATTCAGTCATCACCTTCATCATTTTAGCAACCATTCTCAATGACCCACCATACTGAGAACACCACCATCACACCTCCAAACCCTAGCAACCCATCACCATTGCAACTTAACCCGATTAACACCCCGATGTGTGTAATTCGCAGAGAGAGAGATCTGTGTTTGAAGAAGATGATGGAAGTAGGGCTAGGCATAAGGTCATTTAATCCGCGAAAACCACCCAACTTAAACTTACCGCCCTTATTCGGGATTTTGTATAATCATTAGGGTCAGATGCAGGTTAAGATTTTCCTGTTTTGTGGGTTGCAGCTAGGTCGTTGGGTTTACCAGCACCCACACTCACCTGCCTGCATTTGTATACATTGTTTAGTTTATACATTTTTTGCAAAGTAAATGTGAGTCAATTGACTGTTTAAGGCCTCTGTTTATGGCATGTTTCCTTCTGAAAGTAAATTGGATAGATAGGATGTAATTTATTTGGGATCAATCATTTGGAAAATAAATGATTTCATGATAAGAAATATGTGATTTTATGGCCTAAAATAATATCTGAGGGAAAAAGTTCTAAAAAGAATATTTAAAAAATGGGAAAAAATAAGCCCAAAAATAAAATTTTAAAGGACATGCCTAATCCATAAACCGCTTGCACATTTGCGAACTTTATCCATACAAATCGCAATCTGCACTGCAAGCAGTTGCGGATTCAATTTTTCCTAAACCCCAAATATGTGGGCAGGTCCAAACTGCAAATCACACTGTCAAAAATCAATCCATGAGCATCCCTGGATAGAAGTGGTGTTGTGAGGAAGTGATGGGCTTGTGATGGCTAAAAGTCACAGCGGTATGGGCAACGATGGTTTATTTGCTACGATGATGGGACATGAGAGGTGTAAGGGGTGGTGACCAAAGAGGCTGGATAAGAGCAACGAAGGAAGGGGGTGTTGTGACGAGGAGAGAAAGAGTGGTGATCGGCGATGACTAGTTAGGCTTAAAGTTAGGTAGAGAAGATAAGGGTAATTTGGTATTATTCAAAATTTATGGTATGTATTGAGATAAAATCCAAAATTTCAGTTTGTATATGATGTAAATTGAGCAAAAATTAAGTAATGGTATATACTGCGACAATAGTGTTTAAATAGAATTTTTTAAAATAAAATAAGAATAATACTATATGTACTAATTAATATACTAATAGATAATGTGGTATAATTTTAAAAATTTTGAGTATTTATAATTTGCATAATAGGTGAGGTTAGTAATAATAACATAATACTAATTAGTACATTAATTAGTGCATATAATGCCACCGATAAAATAAAGAATAATTTTAGAAATCTTAAAAATTCTATCAAAATTTCTACTAAATGGGAATGGATAGTAGAATTTTTTAAATTTTTGTTTGTAAAAATAAATAGTATAGGTGAAAGATACTCTTATTTTTTCGAACGTATACCCTCCAAGTCCCTACGAAGAAGATAAGTTGATGTTTACAGGAAAAATCTGCTGGAAGGGTTTTTGCACATAAACCCTAATCACCTTCTTCTTCTACTCCCAAACCTCATTCAGGTAATTGTTCATCCTCATCTTCTCCAACTATTACATACATATCTATCTAATCTATGGTCACTTCTATCTATTTATAGTCCCTCTCTTGTATAATCCTACAAAGAGACTCAAAAATGGAGCCCAAACTGTTTTTACCTTCACCAAGAACATCACCATCTATTGCTTCTGTACCCTTCTTTCTCTCATACAAATCACCTCTTCTTGCAAACCCAAAGCTTTCTTCAAAAACCCGTATTTTCTTATCCACGAAAGCATCAGAGAAAACACAATTTCTGGGAAAAAGTTTGAATTTACAGAAGAAAATTGTTCCTCTGGGTAATGTAGAAAAAACCCATATTCGATCTGGGTTAATAAGAGCTGCTGTGAAGAGAAGAAAAGAGCTTCCCTTTGATAATGTTATTCAAAGGGACAAGAAGCTCAAATTGGTTCTGAAAATCCAGAAGATTCTAGTTAGTCAACCCGATCGGGTAATGTCGTTGCGTGATTTGGGTAGGTATAGAAGAGCTCTAGGGCTCCAGAAAAGGCGGCGATTCATCGCCTTGTTGAGAAAATTCCCTGCAATTTTTGAGATTGTGGAAGAAGGGGTTTACTCGCTTCAGTTCAAATTGACGCCTGAGGCAGAGAGGCTTTACTTGGAGGAGATGAGGATTAGGAATGAAATGGAGGGTTTGTTGGTGATTAAGTTGAGAAAATTGTTGATGATGTCATCGGAGAAGCGAATTCTTTTGGAAAAGATTGCTCATTTGAAGACTGATTTTGGGCTTCCTTTAGAATTCCGGGACACAATTTGTCACCGGTACCCACAGTATTTTAGGGTTGTATCGACTGGGCGAGGCCCAGCTCTAGAACTTACTCATTGGGACCCAGAGCTTGCTGTTTCAGCAGCTGAGCTAGCAGAGGAAGAAAATCAGACTAGGGAGTTGGAAGAGAAAGATTTGATAATAGATAGGCCATTGAAGTTCAATAGAGTGAAGTTACCGAGGGGTCTAAATCTTTCGAAAGGTGAGATGAGAAGGATTTGTCAGTTTAGAGACATGCCTTATATATCACCTTACTCTGATTTCTCTGCAATAAGGTCTGGTACATTGGAGAAAGAAAAGCATGCTTGTGGGGTGGTACATGAAATCTTGAGCCTCACTGTTGAGAAGAGAACACTTGTTGACCATCTGACTCATTTTCGAGAAGAGTTTAGGTTCTCTCAGCAGCTGAGGGGGATGTTGATAAGGCATCCCGATCTTTTCTATGTTTCGTTGAAAGGGGATAGGGATTCGGTCTTCCTCAGGGAAGCGTATCGTGATTCTCATTTGATAGAGAAGGATCGGTTGTTGCTCATCAAAGAGAAGCTTCGGTCACTTGTTGCTGTTCCACGATTTCCGGGAAGGGGAGGCCCCAAAACTGATGGAGATGGAGTGGAGGAAAGTGATGAGCGGGCAGAAGGAAGTGGTGGAGAGGATGAAGATGATTGGTCTGATATTGATGATGTAATAGATGATGCATTTGATGATGATGATGAGCAGGAGGACGGTGAAGATGGGGAGGATTACGAGGATGATTGGAGTGATGAAGATGATGATGAGGTGCCTCCGGACTTTGATGAAGATGGCGGAAATGTGAAGATTGGATTGAGCAAATCAACTAAAAAGGTAGGTAGCGTGACAGAGAATGAAGAAAAGGTGCTTCTTCCCATGTTTCCAGATGGTCGACCTAGAGAACGCTGGTGAAAGTGGTAGGAATTCGAAGAACGCCCTGGCTCCCCAGTTTTGGTATATACTCGAGCAAAAGGCCATTAACATTTTGCTGTTAGATTGTATTAGAAGAGGTGTTTTGTCCTCCTACATGAAAATGCAATTTCATACTTGGATTTTCTGCGTCGTTGTACATAAGTCCTGGATCTTCTCTCTCAGGTTTAAGGTGCTCAAGAATGAGACATTGTTGTCTACAAATATTCATGTCCTCTTGTTTTGATCTAACGAGATTGAATATGTTAGGTTCTTATCCATGACAACTCGAAACAAAACATGTGTGGCTGTTATATCTGTAAGCTTGTTTTGATATGCAATATAAATATGAGTTTGTCTTAATACAGCATATGCAGTAGAAATATCAATGTTTTAGATTGTTTCTACTATCAAATTTTATTAAAAATGATTTCATTGGAACTATGGCTGTTAGGATTGGATTGGTAATTAGTAATTGATCTGTTTTTTGTATAAACTGGCTGGACAACAGACCAAACTTCAAGGGAAAAAAAAATGATCTTAACTTTATAAATGTTAATTTACATCTTCCTATTGGCACCCTTTTCAGTTTGATCTCGTTTACTTGCAATCAAGCGTGTAATTGGCTTCTTCAAATCTCATCTCTAGCTTAAATCCTTATCTTTATCTTTATGGTATTTCCAGTCCTCCAACTCTACATTTTCTCGATTAATTTGTGATACCAGTTGATGGCTGCTTTATGTTCCATGCCTGTTCGCATAATGCAACACAGACATGTGACACACGGACACGCCAATTTTTAAAATGCAGGACATGACATGCTGAAGGCATGTTAAAATTTTATATTTTTACAATTTTATTATACATCATATATGAAAGTAATTTATTAAAAAATAACAAAAAATCTATAACCTATATAAAAGTGTGTAACAGTGGTATAACGCAGCTGCTTGCTTACTTTCCAAATCTTTTCTCTGCTTGGTTTCTAACCTTTTTCCTGCAGATTTTTGGTGAGACACATGGGATCGAAATCATCCACATATCTATAATCTATACCTATCCATAAGATACTATAAAAGCAAGAAAAAATTGCCTCTAACAGTAGTTGATCTAACGGAGGTGAGATGGCAACTTCACCCTTCTGGAAGATTGCCTCACAAGATTGCACCGTTTGGGGCTTCTTCGGCAAGCTCTGCAGAAGATGAAACTTCTCAAACAAGCCGGCTTGGACCTCTTGCCACCTGTGCTGATTCAGCTTTCTCCTGAGGCTTCCTCCATAAGCTCTTATATTTTAAGAGGTGTAATTGTTGCCTTGGTGCAAACTGTTATAAATCGGGTCAAGAAACAAACGAGGTATGCCATTTCTCAACTTCCATATTCCATTTTTTGTGCAATCCAATTCCTACTTCCATTATCCTATGCTTGATTGAAAATTGTCTTGGGCTCTCTATTTCTGAGTTTGGTTTGTGCTGATACATTTATGGTTTGCCATGAATTTCTTCTTCCTGTTACATCTTCTGTGCACCAACTGTTTGGGGCGACCATTGGTTCAGTGGTTAAGATTTGGCTTAATAACCTTGAGGTTATGGGTTCAAGTCTTGGGACCACCACTTTGTGTATTATGCCAAAGGTTAGGTGTGGACTCAATCTTTACCCTCCCAAACACACATTAATGTGTACTAAGTGGGCGTTGTTTTGTTTACATCTTCTGTGCACCAACTGTTTGATGCAACGCCATGAGTTTGGTTTGTGATAATTTTCCCCAAAAAAAGGTAGCTACTGCTGCATGAAAACAGAGGGCTCAGTGTCATTAATGTGTATGTCAATTTATTTGCAACAATTGCAGTAGGTATGGGCTATTCAGTGAAGTATTATATAGGCTCAGTTATACCTGGACAGAATTACGCACCAATATACTAGGAGTTCTACAAGTTTGCTAGAGATTATGATTTCACGTATTTGAACATAAAATATTGGCTTTTGTCAGATGTTTGTGTTTGTTTTGATTGTTGACTATTGAGAATTGGAAACAGTAAATGCTTTTACGGCTTTGGAATTTCTCGAAAATACTTATTTAAAAGAAATAAATAAATAATAGGATGAGTGTTGGTCACCATCTTACCCTGTTGGTGGTGAACATTCATGTACCTAGATAATGGTACGATGTTTAGTTCTCGTGCATTTACAATTGGGTTTCATTAATCTTCGATTTGCCATCTGCATAATTCTTCTACATTCTGAAACTGTAAAACCATTACAGTTGGTCATCAATGGGATAAGATTATATACCATTAAACCTTATAAATATAATATATATATATATATATATATTTGATAGTACAAGACCAGGGATAATTTTTTATATACCATTAAAATTATATACCATAATATATGTTATGTTGAGGGCATTGTGAAATGTTGTAACTCTTCCTTTTCCTTTAAATATATATATTCAAAAGTGGTTGAGATCGAATTGATAATTGCTCATGTCTTGTAATCAATAGTACTATCTAGAAAGACATGTTGGTTGCCAAATTGTTGTGGCCTATAATTTCATGTTATATTTTTGTCTGGACTAATCCTAAGTGAAAGGGTCAAGAAATATGTTATCAAAACTTCGAACTCTTAGGTCCATGCAAGATTTGAATTATAAATCTTTACATCATGAAACAAGCCTAATCATTTGATAGCACTTCATCAAGTTGGTGAGTAACAAACCTGATAGCAGACTAGAAAGCTTCTTGCAGCCCAAGAAACAAACCAAGACAGAGTGGAAGCCGCTTTGGCCACCATCTGAGCTCATAAATGAATCCACATAGGCCAACATATTAGACCAGTAGCAAACAAAAGAAAAAACAGTTGATATGTGTAAGGTTGACTCCTAATATCAACTTATAGAACTCCACAGATCAATGCAGCAACTTGAATAAAAATAAAAAGAAGCCTAACTTTACTAGAATCAAGTTGATATTAATATTATATTATAGAATCAGGGTTCTAATTTTACTAGGGAGCTGAGATTAGACTAATGTTAGATAGAGAGGGTTAAGAAGAAGCCTGGGATGGGAAGAGCTGGATTGAAACTAAGAGCAGATTGGGTTCTTCTTCTGTTGACATGAATTATTTGGATATCCCTGCTGAAAATGAAATTCCAGATATGACAGATTCAGTGATGTTAAATGCTGAAAAATAGCCTTGCTCAAATAGTTTTAACTCTTCACCCATGCAGCTGAGATTAGACTAATGTAAGAAGAAGCCTGGGATGGGAAGAGCTGGATTGAAACTAAGAGCAGATTGGGTTCTTCTTCTGTTGACATGAATTATTTGGATATGCCTGCTGAAAATGAAATTTCAGATATGACAGATTCAGTGATGTTAAATGCTGAAAAATAGCCTTGGTCAAATAGTTTTAACCCTTCACAATTGCATGGGATGGCCAGCCAATTCAGAATTTTGTGAAAAGTAATCCATATTTTTGGATGTGGAGAATTCACAAGGATCAACGATGCAAAAATAGTTGATGCACTCCAATATTGTTGTGGCAAGTTAGAACATTATGATCTTGTTGATGGAAGTATTGGGAAGATAAATACCACAGCAACTTATTAACCCACATGAAGCAAAAATCATTCAAATTGTTGTTTTCTCTGATTTGAAAAGAGGTCATTTGGTTTACTGGAATCTATACTTGTCTTTTCAATGATAATAACCTCAATTCAGAATTATTAGAAATAAGATTATGTCATTTGCATTATTTTTTAGTTCTGTGATTCCATTGTATCTATAGAAAACTATGATTGATGAATTGTCATGTAAGACTGCTGTGGAAAAAGGGGTAAGTTCACAGTCAAGATTGTCAACCAAATGGTGTTACTTTCAATTGAATTATATGACTATACAAAAACTGATTGATGAGGCTTTATGTGAAGAGAAGGTGTCAATCTTCACAATTTCTTTGTTATTCAACTTTGGCTTTGATTGCACTGTTGGTTGGTTGATCAAATGAACATTAAATGTCATAGTATTTTGCAGTATGATTGCAATTGTACTCCAAACCAACCCCAGATAGTATTGCTAGGAGACTAGGGCAGAGGCTTCATGAGCATGAAAACAATAGACAAATGACGGTGCATGTTATTTTCTTGTGTTCTAGAACTATTTTCAGAAAAAAAACAGAGAGAAAATGTCCATATGAGTGCATCTTGTTGACTGACTGCATATCATTGACATACATAGGGTGGTTATGTTAAAGCATTATGCACGATATTTTCCAAGTAACTTTTCTTTATTAGCTTGGTTAGTCCGTTAATTTGAAGGATGATTCGTAGGTTGAAATAATTCCCAAAGGAAAAAATTAGTAGAAGGAAAATATGATGACTTTAAATACAATGATGCAACATAGAGGTACCTTACCTGCCAACAAAGTCGTGATCCTCATGTGCCCGCCAACAACATTGTGACCCTTACGCGCGTAGCGTGTGGGGATCAAACTAGTACATAGCATAACACTAATTACATTAAAATTTCATAACTTAAACATTAAGATATCATTCACGTAATTATTACATTCTAAATAATGCAAAATAATTATAGAAATTGTAATACACATGACATGATGATCTTATAAATATTTCAAGGCATATTTAGAATGCATAAGTTATGTTATCAAGAATGCAGGATATTGTTATTATGAAGGGATTCATTAGTATTCGGATGGTTCCCGAAGTGTTGGTAAAATGTCCAATATTAGAATTTGATTTTTTTAATTAAAACACGTTGAAGAAGTGTCGGATACATTTTTAGGAGTGTCCGAAGAGGGTCGGACACGACACGCGTTTTTCACAAAAGTGTCCATGCTTCGTAGTCAATGTTTATTTCACATTCAACATACACAACCATCAGAAGATACAAATGCACTGCATCTTGGAATTTTTTACAAGGTTTTTCCACAAACAAGGCTTAATGTTAAAGTCTAGAGATGAAGTGCAATCCTACTGTAACCACGGTGTTCTGTTGAGTGCTTAAATAGAAACCAATAAACAAAAAAAGAAATGCAACCTTCGAGAATACGTTTTGGTTGCCACTAAATTTGTTCCACCTTGGCTCTGTGATTCCGTTTACTATTGATGATCATGATGAAGTATTTATTCTATGAAACATCAGTGTCTTGGCATTTGGGGATATCCTGTTTTGCATTTGTTCTTGGAGACTTTTTCTACACGAGATAAGTTTGTTGATCGATCTCAAACGTGTTAGTGTGCATGGACAATGACAGTGATCGTCTAGAAGTTTCAAATTTTTGTCATGAAAATTAAAACAAATTAATGATAATTAGCATAAAGAGATATTTAAGCTTATTTTAACATCTGTTTCTCTACCCATTATTTTGGTTTTGATCAGGTCATGAACACATTATTGAGATCGCCATCTACTATCCCCACACGTGCGAGTAAACCACACACACACACAGACCATGAGATCAGTTAATATTGTTTTCAAACAGCCTATGTAAGAGCAAAATATAAACAATAGGCTATGTTAGATTTATCAGTGACAATTATATGCACCTTTTGGAAGTGATATTGGTTGTTGAACTCAGATGATGAATGTCTGACTGTCTAACTTTCACATCTGAGTTAGTTTAGCCATAGCTTTGATTTGTACTGAGTTTTGCATATTGGGTTGAGACCACCTAGATGATATGAGGCTAGAAATATATAACTAAGCTCTGTTTCAATTTTTATTTATTTATTTATTTTTTAATTTAATTTTTTTTTTCTTTTTTTTTTTGGAGCCAAAAAAGTTGTGCCTGTTTGGGAATTAAGTTTTGAAGCTACTAAAAAAGCATTTGCCAAACTCAATCTAGAAGAATAGCCTGAAGAATGAAAGACTTTTTCAGATTTTATAGCACAATTAGTGATTCCTGCTCATAGTTTTCCTCATAATTCCAACCACTTTGTATCTCCTGTTGCATATTGCTGGCTTACTTGGAGCTCATGTCCAAAATCCAACTTCATTGTCTTATCTGCATTTTTTAATTTTTAATTTGTTTTTTACCAAGGCTAGGCAACGAGAGGACTTGAGCCATTGACACTCACATCAATGTGCGAATTATAATGCAATGTGAAGTTTAGGTAGGCTAATTGGGTATTATCCTATCTCTAAACCATTACATGTCTGTTACCTGCTTCCAAATCTTTCTTCATTTTTATATATATAATATATACACTTACAAGTCTTATCCTTAAAACTCTGTTTTCATAATTGTCTCAAGTGAAGAAGTCAAGCATCCAACCAAAGACGATCTTCAATACCGTTGTTTCTTTGCTAAACTCTCACGTCTGTTCATTGTTCAACATAGTTCTCAATGTCATAACGCATTATGATTTGAAAAAAAGAGAAAGAAACAAAACCAATATTTGTGCATATTGTTCAGTTTGATTTAAATAAACCTCATTATGTGACAACTCATGCTGCCTTCCCCTAGTCACAAGAAGAAGAAAAAAAAACAAAAAAAAAAAACATTTTCTTTCACATAAGGTTAGGGGTGAGACGCTGCGCAACTGTCTTGCAACATGTATGAAACAACACAACTCGTTTACTTTCTTTGATAATTTTTTTATTATTATTAGGGTATGATATTATGAATATTGTGATTAGACTACTGGGATATAGATCACGTGATCGATCCAAGTTGAGAAAAATCTCTCACTGATTGTTTAGATTAGGAACAAACTGGCAGGAATTGTTCTCTCACAAGGACTGAAAAATGTGATGGTTATGGATATGGTTTAGATGCCTTAAGCTGCTTTATTCCTTATTCACTAGAGTTGACTTGCAAAACGTCTTTCAGAGCCAATCTTTTTTCGTATGTTTGGATCAGATTAGGGGGACCCTTTTGGCAATCAAAAGGATATTGTGTTGCCACTCAAACCTCTCTCTCACACACACACACACATTTTGTGTCCTATAAATAAGGCTCTTAGCCCCATCTTGAATGATCAAGCCAGCAAGAAATGTCTTCTGAGTTCAATGGATATATATAAGCTTCCAAGGCATTGGTTGTTCCCTCTCCCTCAAGGGCTTCTACTCTTGCTATATGCAGTGTGGTTGATACTTGATAGTTGATACATAATAAGGTTTGCTCATCATCAAACACTTGATCATGAACTATGGCAGACTAGAAGCACTTGGGGAGCTGGAAACAAACCTTGTCTTGCCTAAAAAATGCCAGTGCCACAGCGCCTAATCTTCCCGAGGCAACCTTTGCTCACTCTCCCTCAAGGGCTTCCACCACTTGGCTCTCCAAAAGTCGAAAAGGGTGGAACCCTTTAGGGATGGTAAACAGAAGTTGTTGCGATATTTTCTAGAGTCTCCAATCCATGCATGGCAACTCCATTGGAGTTTTTCTCCGTTTGTGGGTATGTAATGGTATATGCCTTCAATCTTCCCATGTCAGCCTCTGCTCACTCTCCCTCAAAGACTTCCAACATTTGGCTCTCCAAAAGCCGAAAGGGGATGGAGCTCTTTAGGGAGAGTGAACAGAAGTTGTCGTGATCTTTTCCAGAGTCTCGGTCCATGCATGACAACTCTACTGTTTCATTAGTTAAAAAGTGCTAGTGCTTCATCTTCCCGAGGCAGCCTTTGCTCACTCTCCCTCAAAGACTTCCACCACTTGGCTCTCCAAAAGCCGAAAAGGGGTGGAAATCTTTGGGGAGAATGAACGAAAGTTGTCACGTTCTTTTCCAGAGTGCCCAATCCATGTATGGTAACTCAATTGCAACCTTCCTGGATTTCTGGATATGTAATGGTATGTCCCTTCTACTGCAAAAATTTCTATTATCATCAAGTTCTGTTGGGAAAACTGAAAAATAAATGTGTTTTGCAAGTTCAATGAGAATTATCAATCTAGATTTGGGGTCAAGAAATTCTTGTTTTAAATAGCAATATTGAGAGACATTTCAATATTTGTTGTGGCATAATGTTATTGTGAGTATCAAACAATATCGAAAATTGAATATTGCAGTCATTAACTTTTTAAAATTATCAGCTGTAAAAAATGAGTTCAATAACTGATACGTATAAGGAATCGACAAATACTCATATAATTTTCATTCCAATTAATAAACCGGAGCATATCTATTTTAAAATTAGGGCTGATCGTGGATCGGGTTAGGTTAGGTGGCATTTCATTCGCCATCCATTTGAAATTAGGTAGATTTGAAAAAATCAATTCACATCTGTCCACCGGTTTTGGTGGATGTGGATTGAATGGGTTGGGTGGATTGGCGGATGGATATGATCGATTTGGCGGTTTGAGCTTTACAAAATTTGGACATTTTTTTTGAATTATAATTCATTACTTTTACAATTTCCAATAACTAGTGATTTGAAAAAATATATATTATTTGTGTATAATAGGCCATGGCACCATTTATACATATTTTTAAGGTAGTGTTTTTCATTTTCACAAAAATATATATTTTATTATCAATTTTTTTTTTAATTTTTTTTTTTTGTTTTGAACTTCATCTACGAGCAGATTGGGTTCATGCAAGTGCAAGATGGTTGATCCGTCATCCGAATCGTATTAGCGAATTTTGAAATATTTCATCCATCTGCCAAAAGACATGCATTTACCCAAAATCAATCAGGTTGGATCGAATCAGTCATTATGTTTCTACTGTAATAATAATAATAATTCTATTATTGTCAAGTTCTATTGGGAAAATGAAAATAATTGTGTTTTGCAAGTTCCATATATAACTATCTATCTGGTTTTATTGATCAAGTAATTTTCAAACAAATTTTTTTCAGATTTCCTTCCTCGATGGATTTGGGACTTCTATTATCGTTTCTGTTGGTTTGAACTTGTTGATCACTGACCAATGTGCAAGAAAAACGAGGTTGGAGATCAAACCTGTTTCCAGATACATGCTAACCCATGAAGTATGGGTATATCAAAAAACAAGTTATACTCGTGCGGTGTATTTATCGCTGTATGGTACCTTTTGTGGTACTTCTGTATATATATCGGGTACACGAAATATGTATTTAAATTTGTTCTTCTTAATTTTTGACATAATCATACGTATCTAAGTATATATCCAAGTAGGGGGGCAACTCGGGCGGGGTTCGGAGGTTATCCAAGCCCAGCCCAAGTTGTGCTGAGACCTGCCCAAGCCCGAATTGTAATCCGAGGTTGTCTGCCCAAGCCTGACCCGAGTTAAACCCGAATTGCAAATGAATTTCAATTTTTTTTTTTGCAACTACACTATGAAATTATTAAAATTTGACTCTATTTACAATTATTATTATTATTTTTTTTTTATAGAAAATCATTAATACCATTAAAACAAATAATTTTTATAATGTAAGAGAGATGCCACTATAGTAGTCCTTACAATTTATGAGTGAAAATAGAAAGAAAAAAAATAAGATTTTATATTATTTATATATATAATATATATTCAATATGATTTAATAATATAAATTTCTTTAATATCATGTAATGGCTAATAGTTTATATGTATATTTAATATTTTTATATATCTACATATGTATAATTCGAGCTTCGGGTTGCTCGGGTTGTTTGACGTCTTTGCCCAAGCCCGCCCAAATTTAATTCGGGCTTTTAAATTTTTGCCCAAGCCCGTACCGAATTTAAAAATATTTTGTCCAAACCCTAACAAAATTCGGGTTGGGCTCTGGTTGTTCGGGTTGAGCCCGCCCAAGTTGCACCCCTATATCCAAGCCGTACTATATCTTAATTGAAAGAATATTTTCTTTTATTATAGAGATAAAATTCATTTCACTAGACTTCTTTTTTATTTTTAATTTTATGCTTAATATGATTTTAAAATTAAGTTATGGTTTATAAGTTATTTAATATATTGATATTTTTCATTTATATTTTTACTTTTAGCATTTAATGTTAATTGTAGGTTAGATCTTGACAAATTAAATCATTTAATCAATTTTTTACATTACTCTAAATTAAGATTAAATATTTTTTCACAAACGTCCAAAGCTGTATATATATTCGATTTTTTTTTTTTTAATTTTACCATGTTAATATATCCGTATCATACCAGTAATAATACTCGTACTCGTGCTGTATAGATGTAACTTTCATTTTCATATAGTGCTATGTTAGTTGTTAAGAATGGCTTTTCAGTGACATGATAAAATTATTTGAAATGATACAGAGAAGATTAGTATGTTCTTGCGTCAAGATGACAAGCACATACCGAGAAATGGTTCAATTTTTTTAATTTTGTTTTTTTTATGTCCCTCTGGCTTGTGTTCAACTTGTTGATGATGAACCCGTTTTTGTAAATAAATCATGTTTGAATGTATTTTAAGTTAAATTTCAAGGTAAGTTCGAACAATTTTATACTATGATTAGATTATATGTATTATAAAAAATCAAGTTATCCAAACTCAACTCGATTAAAACTCGTTTGAGATATCTAAACACATTTTAAAACTTATTAAGTTTAATTAATTTATTATTTGACTCAACTCAGATATATGCATTATAAAAGATAAAAATAATACCAACCAGACTATTATATAGGATATAGATTTGATAGTCATCGCTCAATTATAATCAACTTGTATGGCAAATAAAAAATAACAATAATACCAACCAGACTATTATATAGGATATAGATTTGATAGTCGTGGCTCAATTATAATCAACTTGGATGGCTCAGACCGCTTGTGTCGACAAACTCCGAGATCCATCATCAAGTTGTGCATCACCGCTGGAGCACCAAACTGCTTGAGCGGTGGCCACTCTTCTTTCACTTAGATCTAATCTTTTAAGTCAAATTGAATTGGATTTGCAAGATAACAAAGTCCATTTACAATTGAAAGAATTATTACATCCATCAAGTGTTTGTCAAATGGGATTGTCAAAATTAAGTCCTACACTATAGCCTGTTTGGTTTGGTTAGATGCCATTTGATTAAAATAGTCAATAAAAACAAAATAAGTAAAATTATTAATAAGATAAAATGTCACATTCAACTTATAATCATTTAATTTTTTCTCTCACAATCATCAAATCAACTAAAAAAATAATAACTATTATTCTAAACAAAACTTTTTTAGTTAGGTTAAAATAGTCAAAAAGTCAAATAAGTATCTAAAAATACTGTAAGCTTTACAACAATCACCTCTTTTGTGGGGTTATCAATCCTTCCTATGCAGCAAAACAACACTATACACAATGCTTTGAAAAAAAACTGCCCAAAACACCTTCCTATTACCAGAAGTCATTGCAGGAACACTTCCCTTCTCTGAAATGGTGAAACCGGGCACCATCTCTGAAGAAAATTTCACGGCATCTTATCAAAGAAATATATTTCGCTACAGTATGACAGTCAGAACAAACTCTCGTGTTCTTAATCACCCGAATAGGCGCTCGCTTTCTCGTCTTGATTAGTCCATACGTAATGGCCAATTTCTCAGTATGGCTAAGCAACACCTTCTCCTTTTCCATGCGATCAATGTTCTGGTACACACATTTGATGTCAGGCACGTATCCCAATCTTTTCATTTGGGAAATCAGTTGATATAACTCGAAGTATATCTCTCCTTCATCCGGGTGAGCTTTTCCTCTGGTAGAGAACACGTGAACCATCTGATTGATTTGTATCCAGCTCCATACATGCCCAATTTTTGCCCCTGCTGTAACATCCATCATCAACTCTCTTACACAGTCCACATCTTCCCATCTGTTCAAAGTCGCGTACAAGTTCATCATCAGAACATAATTAGCAGGATTGTGTGGTTCTAATTTGAAAAGTCTCTTTGCTGCTATCTCTGCAAGCTCTAAATTTTCACGGATCCGACATGAACCAAGAAGAGCACCCCAAACCGTAGCATCTGGCACCATTGGCATCTTTTCAATGAAATCCCAAGCTTCATCAAGATACCCTGCCCTTCCAAGAAGATCAACCATGCACGAGTAATGCTCAATTGTGGGGATTATATTGTAATCTGCCTTCATGATGTCGAAATACTTCCATCCTTCATTGATTAGACCTGAATGCTTGCAACCAGAGAGGAGAGCAGTGAAGGTAATCGCATCAGGCTGAATACCTGCTGCACGCATTTCATCAAAAATTGAAATCGCCTCTTTTCCTCGGCTGTAAATGGCAAAACCCATGATCATGCAATTCCAAGAAGCCAAAGTTTTGCGTTGAATGGTTCGAAAAACCTTCTGGGCAGTATTTAGACTGCCACACTTACTGTACATGTCGATAAGAGCTGTAGTTACAAATACATCTTCCGTGAAGCTATTTCTAATTCCCATGCAGTGTATTTCTTTCCCATTCCATAGCGAAGACAGACCTGCACAGGCTCGAAGCAAGCTAGATATGGTGGCCGAGTTAGGTTTGATACCTTCTTGTTGCATTTGGATTGAAAACTCTAGTGCATCCTTATAGTTTCCTTTCTGTGCACAACCCGATATTAGAGCGGTCCATGTGACAACATTAGGAATCAATCCTGAAACTTTAATCCGATGAATCATGGTTAGAGCTTCCTTATTGCGACCCCACATCGAATACCCAGAAACCAAACCATTATATGTCACTAAATCTGGTTTAATTCCTTCATTTTCCATCTGGTTCAACAATTTTACGGCATCTTCAAATTGGCCCTTGAAGGAATATCCTGAAATTAACGAATTCCAAGCGAAAAGGTTTCTATTCTTCATACCATTGAATACAGCTTGCGCATAGGTTAGATTATTATTCTTCACATACATGTCTAGCAGTGAAGTTCCAACATATACATCATAATCAAGCCCATTTCTTATCACATAGCTATGTATTTCCTTCCCAAGATTCACGAAACTCAATTCACTAATTGCTTGAAGAACACTGGTGATAGAGCTGGAGTTAGGTTTGAAACCAGCCACTTGCATTCTCTGCAAAAGAATCAAGACTTCTAGGTATAACCCACGAAGGAAATGGCCTGACAAAAGGGAATTCCAGGTTACAATGTCCGGTTTCATAGCCCAACTCTCCATGTCATGAAATAGCTTCCATGCATCATTTAGATTACCAAGTGTAGTATAACAAGAGATGATCATGTTCCATGAAGATAAGTTACGGTTTTCCATTGAATCAAAAACTGCCCTAGCAAGTTCAAGATTATTGTTTCTCGAGTACATGCTAATCAGTGAGTTACACATGAATACATTTGATTCCAATGCAAATCGAATGACATACCCATGAATCTGCTTTCCTTCAACAATAGCATCCAATTTGCCACAGGCTTGCAAAACTTTAGCAACCGTAAAGCTATTAGCTTTCACAAATGAAAATTGCATGTCTCGGAATAATTGTAGAGCCTCTACCCATCTCTCACTCCTCAAATTCACTAAAACTGCCTCATTCCACAGTAGAACTTCTTGATCAGGCATTTCATCAAACATCTGATCTGCATAATCTATGCCCCAACACCTCCCATAGAAATTCATCAATGCACACTTTGAATAGACATCCATTTCAAAACCTTTCTTAATCAAACATCCATGAACTTCCATACCCAACCATATATCCATTAAATTTGCACAAATTTTCAAAACGACAGTGAGAATTCTACAGTCAAAACTCACTCTTTTGTTATGCATCTCAACAAAAACCTCAAGAATTTCAAACGGATAGCCCCCAAAACTCTTGAATTCCTCTACAAAAACATTCCAATGAAGATAATTTTGTGAAAAACCCACAAAGAAAACCGTCGCAGCCGAACGAAAATCACCAAAATTCAAGTAAGATGTGATCAAAGATTGAAAAATGGTGTCTGAATTCTTGTCTTTGACCATTTTTGTCATCTGGGCATGCATTATTTTGACAGAATTCAAGGAATTGAGCTCGAGATAGCCATTTAAACAATGGAAACTTGAAGAAGAAGACGATGGAAGAGAAGGAGTGGTGGATATGGTGGAATGGGTTCTGGCTCGCTTGTTGGTTTTGTTGTTGGCGGTGGTGAGGGGATTTTGAAGGAGTGGTGGATTGAGGTGGTGCAATGGAGTGATTGCCTCCATGAATGTTTGGCAGTTATGAGTAGAAGTGAAGGTAGTTGTTGGGTTGTGAAGAAGTGAAAAGTGGCCATTGAAGTTGATTGTGTTGGTGTACTGAAAAGTATTGCTAGCTAGTACTCAGATTTTCAGTGGATAAGAGCATCTCCAACCCACTAGGCATATGATGCTTGTTAGTCAAAATGCCTAATGTGACTTACTTTTTTCAACTCCAATGCACTAGGCATATGCTTAGGCATTTTGGCTCAGCTCACATTCACTAGCTACATGTAGCTAGCCTTCAAGGCTAGGCAAAATGTATTTAATCATTAAGATTATTTCCCTCCATCTTTGTTGCTGACGTGGCATTCTATAAAGTTAATAATATTTGGATGAATAGCTAAAATAAAGAGTATGGTTGGAGCAGAAACATGAAATCGTTGATAGGCAAAATAAAATGTATACTTTATAGTAATATTTAGATAGGTAAAATGCCTACTACCATTGGAGATGCTCTAAGGTTTATCCACACACTCACTCTCTCTCTCTCTCTCTCTCTCTTTTCAATGTCATTCAGCCATGCATCGTTAAAAAAGGAATTTTTTCTCCTGTTTTTAATTTTAATTTTTTATTATAACAATGTTAGAAATTTATATTTTGATTTATTTTGATAATGAGAAAAAAAATAATTTACTGGTGGTCATATCATTTTTTTAATTTTTAATTTTTAATTTTTTTAAAAAAATTATAAAAACAAAAAATCAAGAAATTGACTTTCTTTCCGTAGTTGCTAAAACAAGTCTTTGCACTCACAAATACATCGACGATAATGTGACAAGGGTAGTAGATCTCGTGTCATTGAGTGTTTAATCAATAATAAATTGACACTTATTAGATTATATCTATGAGGACATAATTTTTGAATGACAACACGTGGCCGAGGTGTCACCGAAGTGCCAGCCGAGATGCCACGTGTCCTAGTCATGACGCCGAGATCATCTCGGCTAGGCCGAGGTTATCTGCGAGAATATCGGAATCCGGGATAAGCGGATAAGGGACAAAAGTCCTAGAATGGGAGATGACTTCAGTTTGGATAAAGATAAGACTCTTAGAGAGTTTATCTCAATCCTACTGGGAGTCCAAGATTAACAGTAATCCTAAATCCATTGAAGTTAGGCTTCTAATGGAATTAGGTCAGTGTTGGCTATAAAAGAGAGGCACCCTCATGGGTCTAAAGTATGTTTTTTATGTTCTGAATAGTAAGTTAAGCACTTTTGCTATTTTTGAGAGATAACTGACTTGATCGTCGGAGTGCCTCCGGGTGGACGAACCACCGCCGGAATCTCTTGTTTTTGTTGACAAGTCGTTCGGGTGCTCTCCAGCTAAGTACTAGTTTGGTAGTGTGGTCGAAAATTGCCACATACAATTTGGCGCCGTCTGTAGGAAAGAAATGAGAATAGATGGCCAACGACGAACAGAAAGAGAAGGTTGGGGACGACACCACTACTGAGAGTGGGAAACATATTGACCCTGACGTCGAAGAAGACAACTACAACGAAGAGACTCGTGATAAGAATCACGGAGGAAAGGACGTCGGCCAGGAGGGCGGCGTACCAAAGAAATCGGACCGGAGCGGGTATTATAATGAAGATAACCTCCAGGTATGGAAAGATATATGCCTGCGGTGGGACGACGAGATGAAGGGAATGGCAGACAAATTGGCGGACCTGCAAACGGTCATCAATTTCATGATGCAGAACAACGTCATGCAGCCACCGTTCCTGCTACAAGATACGTCGATTCTAGCGGCCAAGAAAGGTGCCCAAAAAGGGGGGCAGAAAACGGTTCCTGCAGTCCCTTAGCATGGCGGGACTAAGGGACATTCTCACCGGCCTTCGCGGGAGGTCGGGCATAGAGAATCCCAGAAGACACGTCGAACAAAAGAAACCTGCATTAAAGAACATTGGGATGTTCAAGGGAAGGAACTCTGCTTCGATACGACCAATGGAGGGAGGTCCAAAAGAACTTACAATGACCCTGGAAGTAGTGCACCAAAGAGGGCTAAAGAATGATGTTTGGGAGTTGGAATTTACAAGCTAAGGTTGGTTTAACACTTATTTAAATTTTAAAAATTTAAAAGTTGAAGTTAAACCGATAACATGTTTAACACATGTTGAAATTTGAAAAATTTACAAGTTGAAGTTAAACCGAGGTCATAGTTAACATTTGTTGAAATTTTAAGAAAAATTTACAAGCTGAAATTAAATCGGGGTCATGATTAAAGGAAGGAATGATATAGGTTCCATCACCTCAGGATGCCGAGATAATAGAACCTAGGGGCAATTGTGGAGACATAATTTTTGAATGACAGCACGTGGCCGAGATGTCACCAAAGTGCCAGCCGAGATGCCATGTGTCTTGGTCATGACGCCGAGATCATCTCGGCTAGGCCGAGGTTATCTGCGAGAACACCGGAATTCGGGATAAGCGGATAAGGGACAAAAGTCCCAGAATGGGAGAGGACTTCAGTTTGGATAAAGATAAGACTTTTAGAGAGTTTATCCCAATCCTACTGGGAGTCCAAGATTAGCAGTAATCCTAAATCCATTGAAGTTAGGCTTCTAATGGAATTAAGTCAGTATTGGCTATAAAAGAGAGGCACCCTCATGGGTCTAAAGTATGCTTTTTATGCTCTGAATAGTGAGTTAAGCACTTTTGCTATCTTTGAGAGATAACTAACTTGATCGTCGGAGTGCCCCCGGGTGAACGAACCACCGCCGAAATCTCTTCTTTTTGTTGACAAGTCGTTCGGGTTTAATCTATTCTGTCGGTATTCTCCAGCTAAGTACTAGTTTGGCGGTGTAGTCGGAAATTGACACACACAATATCATTATAAGTTGAATTGTGAAAAACTTATGAGGATCTTTTATTTTTTATTATTACAAGCATGAATCAATTTCTCAAAGGTTTGTCAAAAGTTAAAAAATAGTTACATCTTACAAAAATTTTCATTCAATGATGAATCAAATACAATGTAAAAAAAATAACAAAATTAAATGTCATGTTAAATTTGATTTAATGTTTGGATGGAAAAGTTATTTATTTATGCTAAAAATCAAACTGTTTTTCCAATTAGAATTTATTACTTTCGTAAATCAACTCACAACACAAACATTTAAAACTATAAAAACTCAAAAATACTAAAAATTAAATTACCAAAACAATCACAATTCATCCATTTTCAAAAAAATTTGAAATTAAATACTCATCTAAATTGGTGAAAGAGAAGATTCAATTAATTTAAAGTACTCATCTAAATTGGTGAAAGAGAATGATCAATTTATTTAAAGTAAAGCGCGCAGAAATTAGTTGGATAATGGTGGAGTGAAACTTGAGAGTCATTTGGCAATAAGACTCTTTGGCTATAAAAAAGAAAAGAAAAAAATATATATATATATACATATATATATAATTCTATAAAATAAATAAAAAAAAAGTAACTAAACAAACAAATCATATAAACCATTCACGTTTTTTCATACAAGTTAAAAAAAATTATTTTGAGACACACGTAACTTTTTCACTTATTAAAAAAAATTAAAAAGTAAAAAAACCAGTAATGAAAGTTGCACAATTATTTGCTACAGATGCTTGGATGAGTTGCTCAGTACATACAAGACTAACAACTAAAGAAACAAATACATCACCAATATGAAAATCAAGTTTATACAGAACACATTTCCAACATATATTTACAGATAAACACCACACAATAATTTACATACCACCATGTTCAAAGCAGAGGAACATGTAAAATTGTCCGGATACTACGATAAGGCAAAGCCCAGAATCACTTGAGAGGAAATAACAAGAGTGAATAAAAAAGATAAGGAAAATGACCGAGCTACGATCAGGATTGTATACAAAACTTCTGAGAAACATGTACCAATGGCATGCAAATAAATGATTACGGTAGATCTTCCAACCAAATAGTCTAAGCCAAATAGATGATTACGGTAGATCTGCCAATGGCATGCACAAGAAAATGTTCTCATCCAAATTCACTAATAGCGTGTTTGGTTGGGGGATTTGGGAAGAGATTTGGAAAGGAAAAGAGAAAATGTATGTGAAATTAGATGAAATATAGATATGTTTAATTCACATTTCACCTACCTTTCCATTTCCTTTTTCAAATTTCTACTCAAATCTCCCAACTAAACGCAGCATAAGGAAACATGGAATACCATTTTTGACTAATATTTATCTGAGAGAACTAATTCGAAAAGTTGCAACAACTTTAAAGTAAGCAAGAAACAACTTCATGTTTGAATTTCACTTTTGTTTCGCAACAACTTGTAATAAAATAAAAAATGTTAAAACAGTTGAAAGAGTGGCTTCATACTTCAGTGCAAGCACACTTGCTCAGGTGGTGGTGCTAAAGTCGAAGATTTCTGTCCAAAGTAGTCTTCATAACAAAAACAGAAGAACAATGCATTCAAGGTGACAGAAGTAGTTGCTTCCCACTATTTTCATATGATTTTCTCTTTTTCGGGCAAAACTAATTTTTAAAAATTCAAAAATATCTTGTTGATACTTATTTGTCAAACAAGTTTCTAGTTTATTATTAAAAAATAAAAAATAAAAAATAAAAAAACTCAAAAAACAAGTTCTGAAAACTCAACCAAACAAACATAATCCTTTAAACCAAATGTGTGAGAATTGTTAGAAGATCTCCCAAGAAAATTGATTAGCAATGTGTCCCCTGACCATGTAAATGATATGATGGAGCAACTCCTTATCATTTTTTATCTTGAGATATCAACCACAAATAATTTCAAAGTTACAACTCAAAACAAAACATGTGTGTGTGGCTGTTATATCTGTAAGCTTGTTTTGATATGCAATATAAATATGAGTTTGTGTGTACCAAATACCGCACTAAATGATTGTGGATCGGAGCTCCGCACTTAATTGGACTATTCAGGGATTGAGGCCCTGCAGCAAGGAGCAAGGTAAGAGCTGCCGGGCCGGGTTGGCAGGATAACCCCTCCGGTGTGGGAATGAGTAATCGGAGAAGAAGTAAAGTGCTCCCTCAGTGTAGATAGCTGAGTTTCAGTAAGTAGGTTCAGCTTAGATCAATTGCC